GTGAATATTCCTTGGAAAGTATATATCAAAGTGGTTGGAAACCACTTTCTAACAGGAATTTTGTCAAGGTAAGTCTTTCACGTTTTGTTTTATTTTTTCTGTTATTTTTATACAAAAAATTATAAATAAAATTGAACTCTTGTGTGAACCTATATTGAAAAACAATTAAGCTGAAGTGTTTTGGGGCAAGTTTTTAGATAAATTTTTCTTTATGTACTTAAAGATGTTTCTCTACTTAGAATGGAACCATGTCAAGCAAAAAATAAGTTTTAAATTGAAAATAACCTGATTACCTTTAGTCAGTGCTAGCTTTTCTCCTCCTTTTGTCAGAGGTGGGAGATACACTTTGGTATTTCGCAGGTATGAAAATGGTCTTTGAAAATAAAACTAAAATCTTTATATAATACAAAATTAAAAACTAGTCTGTTAATGCTTGTGATTGGAGACTAAGTGGATACTGCTACTTTTCTTTGCATTGGTAGAAATATTGGACAAGCGTGGCTGTGCCTGCATAGCATCACTTGCTGATGAAAAAAACTTTAATAACTATTGAATGCTCATTGCTATCATAGCATTGTAAAGTTGGGCTAGCAATGAGCATTTCAATTAAAGATATATGAAACTCCACATTTACTCCCTTTTAGAAAATTCTTAACAGATCAGAAATTTTTACTTGGAAGTGATATGCTTTCATTAGTTTTTTTTTTGTTTTGTTTTTTTTCATAGCTGTCAATGAGGAACATTCATGGCTTCTGATAGCAAAAGAACATTCATGGCTTCGGACCATTAAATACAACCAACTAATGTTGGGTTGTTGAAAAAAATTCATTGAACATTTGTAAATAGCATATCTTTGTAGAAATTTAAAATAAAGTTTTTAAAAAAATCTTTGAAATAAAAATATTAATCTATATTACAAGTTTCATAATGTTTTATGGTCCATATTTTATTTTTTTTTTTTTTTTAATTAGTTGGCACATATCAGCCAGTTACCATCATTAGTTGAAACCTGTACTTTATTTAGGTACTTCTACTTTTGTAAAGGTGATTCCAGCATGGCTTTGATATTCCTTCTGATAACTTACAAGGACAATATAGTTTTAAAAGTAAAAGATATAAGAAGATGTGATAGAATAAAAGATGGCACTAGTTAAGTTGATAGTTTAATAGGTTTGAGCTTTTTGTTTTTTAATTCTCTTGATTATTTAAAATGTTTTTTTTAAGACTCTGATGTCAGAAAACATTAGCAAAGCATGTATCATTTTAATAGACTTGAAAATAGTATGTTAGCTATTATACTTTAATCTTGCAATTTTCATGGCTAACATAAGCCCTTATTTAAAAGATTGCAGTATTTTCAGATAAGTCTTATATCAAATCAGTAAACAAAATTAAAGCAGCTCTCTGATAAACAACATTTGCGAATTTTTTTTCATTTTTTTGTTATAGGTAATTGTCTTTATACCAGAAATCATTGGTGGTTACTGTTACTGGCCAAGTGACAACAAATTACTTCAAATTGTTGGACTTTTCTCAATATCTCCACTGAAATGATTTTTTTTCTTCTCTTCTTTCTGATTTGTCATACATCCAGATACTTCTACTTCTCAGTGCAACTCTGATAAGGTACAATTGTTGCAGCTCTCATGCAATATCCTGATAATCTCTGTTTCAGGCTTCACTCATGCTGTAGTTTTTCTTAGATTTAATAACCTTTTTTCTTTGAATTTTTATATTATTACATTAGCTGGAAATAGCATGTTTTGGTTTTTTGGTAATAGCCTTCATTCAGGCTTCCTGTTTATGGCGTTTTTTTTTTTTTTTTTAGAAAATAATGTTTAGCATAAGTTTTGAAGACGTTATTCTCTTTGAACTTTTGTCATTAAACCATTAAAATACGTTTTACGTCTTTATACTTACTTATCTCTTCAGACAATTTTTTTGTATGTAGTTATTCAAGGGGAGGCAATTTTTCTTTAGAAATAGTATATTTAGTTATTGACTGAAAAATTATTTGTATGTATTTTTATAAAATCTTACTGAATGTATATGTCATCAGTTTCAAGATGAACTATCATTGTCATTTGTCTAACGATAGATTTTATTTCTGTTTCAGTAAATTAATATTGTTGCATTTTTCCTTTGTCTTTCAATAGATGATCTATTGACATTTAGTTTAGCATTTAAATTATAAAATCTTTAGATTTTTTTTACTCCATATTAAGTGACAGAATTTAATAATGCTATTTTGTTATTTGTTTATTTAGATAGGAACTGATTTTTAAATACTTTTTGATTTAAAAATTTTGAATTAAATACAGGAAAATCAAAGATTTTTATGTAATTTATCTATTATAGGCAGAAGTATAAGAACAACAAGAATGAAGATACAAGACCATTTTCAGCAGTTACATTTATTCTTGAATTCATTTCTCTATACCCCAATATGTTTCATGCAAATATCATTCAGAAAAGTTCCAATACTACCTGGCTGAAGGACTATGTATGTTTTATATTTTAAATGCATATTACTGATATTGATTTCCATGGTTGACAGGAGTTATTTTAAGATTTAGCTAGTGAATAAATGAATTCTGCTATTAGTTACTTGTCCTTTCTTTAACTTGGTCTGGATCTTAATTTGAGAACCTTTTACTTTCTGATCCTAAATAGATCTATTATTATATTGGAATCTTGTTAGTGTTTCAGAAATCAAATATATATATATATATCTCGGTTGATGGCTCAAAAGCAGGTAGATTTATTTCTTTTTATGTGTAAGCTAGTTTATCTGCACAGGCAAAAAAAAAAATGACATTGGTATTTCTTTGCATTGATTATATTTTCTGCATGAATAATCTAGAATTTCTGTTGGCACATGTAAGAATCACATTTAACTTTTTAAATTATTAAAAGTAAAAATATCCAAAGAAAGTGAACACAAAAAATAAAAGCAGTGTATTAGCAAGCTGCAAATGAGATATTCTGTTTTTTTGGTAACATGTGGCATGTTAACTATTGAGTAATGCCTCCTGTTATCATAACAGCAGAATATCTCATTAGTAAGGGTGGTCAGGCTGTTTGACTGATAATTGTTTTGTTACAGAATATATTTAAGACATGTTGATGCACATATAATTTAAATATAAATAATGGGCCAATTTTTAAGATAAGTTTTACTGTAGTCACATTAACTTTGCCATGTATAATGATTTTATTGTTCATATTGCAATATTAACAAATTTAAAAATGGTTAATTTTTGTTAATATTCTGTACAAATGTATTTTTAAAATACCCAAGGTTTCAATTATTATTTCTCATGCTAATTGCAGATATAATTACTCATTTTAAAATTATTGCAGTTGAGCTTTTAATTTCTCTTACTTATTTTGGAGAAGTTTTGTTGGTATTGTGAGTAGCTGATGATTTTAAATATGTTGTTAGAAGTTTAATAATTTAATATAATTATAACTGGAGATATTACTTCTGTAATTATTTTCTTTTCTTTTGTAGTAATTATTCTCAGTAAAGTTTTTTATGGAAATGTTGCTGCTGTTTTATTAAATGAATAGCAAAATGTGATATTAGTAAAAGATGAAAAAGTATTCTGAATAATTTACAAGTGGCATAAATTGAAATGGATTAAAATTGTAAACACAAAGAACATTTATGAATGTATCTTCATTAAGAATTTGTACTATAATTCGTTTAAAAAAAAATTATTTTCATTTAAATATTTTAAGATTTTTTTTTTTTTTCTTTTCAAACTAGTTGAGTTTTGTCAATAAGAAAGTTCAACCTAAAAAATCTAATAATGGCTGCATATATTTTTCCCTTACATAATCTTTTTCTGTATTTTTAACTTCTCAATGATTTTCTAAAAGCTATAAATAAAAATTGTGATGTCAAGTAGTTTGACATAAGTTAGATTTTATTTTTGAAAAACATGAAAACCAAATTTTAAACATCAAAAAAAAAAAAGAAATTGACATAATTTTCTAACTGACTGATGAATAGCATCAGTCAGAAAATGTCAATCTAAATGCTGCAATTTTATTGGGGACTTGTACTCAAAATTAAATGACTTTCTGTAGAAATATCTTGAAGATATTTCAGTGATAAATACTTTATGCATAAACAATGAAACAATTAGTAATAATCATCATCATCATTATTATTATTATTTATTATTATTATTTCTTAGTTCTGGTATGATACAGTTCATGACAAAGAAGTACGTGAAATGATCTCAGATACACGAGATGCTTCTCATTTAAGTAAGTATATTTTTTTTCTGAATGATTTCAAAATACTAACTTTTTGGATATCTTATTTTGCTGTATTCAAACATGCATATATTTTGATTTATTCTGAGAATTATGGTTATGGCTGGCCTGTCAGACAATTTCTGCAACCACATCAGCCTTTACATCTGTCCACCTAACTGTGCAGACTGCAACCCCCTTGATTATTATGTGTGGGACACAGTTGAGTGAGAGACCAACAAAGCTCCTTGTAACACCAAAGATTAACTGAAGGCAAGGATTATGACAGCATTTACCAACTTAAACAAGGAAACCCTCCAGGAGATTCCAAAGTCCTCTGGAGTCAGTGGTTGAAGATAATGCTATTTTTATTGAATAAATTTATTCATTATTTCAAGATATTCTTGTGTAATTTTGTTAAATATATCTGTTAAAATGAGATGTCAGTATTATCATTTTTGCATACTTTAGACAACAATTTATCCATCATACCCTGTAGTGGAAGTTTTTTTTTTTTTAAGAGCTGCTGAAAATTTCTTTGGCCCAACCAACTTATCAAAATGACCAAATAGCAAATTTTTAATCTTGAATGTATTTTGGTTAGGGTTCTCTGTATGTGGCTTGAACCCAAAGTATAAACTTGAAGTTTAAAGTGTATTTTCTGCTTCCCACCACTTCTCTCTGCATTTTCTAAATCTTTTTTTCCCCCCCTCTTGATGTGTCTTGATTCTTTTAGAAATTGTTTTTCTTTTACATGATACAATAATGAATCTATACAGTATTTATTTATATAAGACTATGTTGAAAAATTGTTATTAAGGAAATATAGTTTAATGTAATACAATTATTATATTAAAATATTTTAATTTTAAATTTTGATTTTAGTTAAAATTTTTTTTTCCAGGACAGTGGGTTGGAGAAGAAGTTTTAAATCTTGGCCGAGATCTCGGGGTCAATGATGTTGAAGGCCAAAGGGTTACACAGGTAATGTTTTTATAGGTACCTCCACGAAATCGCTAAAAAAAGAGCATAGCTTGATGAAAAAGACACCAACCTTGCCGAAAACTAAATTTTATTGTCTAAATGCTTATGTTATTATTAAGAGGAAAGACCAAAGTTTTTTTTAAATTATTTTAAAAAATTTTCCTTCTTTTTAGAACATTCTAAATTTTGATTAAAAAAAAAAAAAAAAAAACCTTTTTTCTATTTGTATCAGCGGAACTAGTAAATAACATAGACAATTTTTAGCACGTTTTTTTTGGTATGACACACATTAATTTGAAAAATCGTGCAAAAATAGAAATAATTATCGGATGTTAATGAAACTTTCAGGAACTATTCACAGATGATCGAAATTATTATAAATATGTTTTTTTATGAAAGTCATGGTAGAAATATTTTTAAAAATATTTATTACCCCCCCATAACTAATTTTTTATGAAAACGCTAGAAATTCGATCGCATCGGTTTTAGTGATTACAATAATTAAAAGCACAGGGCTTTGAGGAATGCAAATCATGTTTTTTTTTTTTTTTAATTGGATACGCAGTACCTGAAAATCAGCTCTGAATTGTAACATACAAAACTCAATAAAACAAAGATATTATTTAATTTCAAATGCTTTTATTTGCTTTTAGTTGTTTTTATGAATATGGACAATATTTTCTGAAAGCAAAAAAATTTTTTTCGATGAAAATGAATTTTTAATACAATTATTTGTTATTTCATTAATTATAATAGATTTTACATTTAAGTTGTTAAAATATTATAAAATTAGTTAAAAAGTCATCGGCTTTCATAAGTGTCCTTATGAGATAGATCTTTTTTAGCGCGTTGTAAATTGTATCATTTTGACTAATCAGAAGATCCCCAGTAATTAAGAAATGTAATTTTGTGCTTATAATCGAGCTGTAATTATAAAATACGGAAGACCAACCAGAATATAATTAAGTTGCGTTATTTGAGTTAAGCATTGTTCTCCGCTGTTAAGGCCTTTACTTTTCTTGAAACACGTGTGGAGAAGTTAATTTGATTTTTCAATTTCAACTGAGAAGGGTACCTACAAGTATCAGTATCATCTTATGAAATTTATATGATCTTATTTTTATATTAATCTCAGTTACGACATTTTTTCCATAAATGAAATATCAAAATTAATAATAAAATGAATGCAAATACAAATAACAGTAGAATGTAATAAATGTACATAAAATTATAGTATTTTATGTACAATTCTGATAAAATTTCATAAGAAAGGTACCTATAAATTAATTAGATACCTTTCTTAAGAAATATGAAATTTAATGTCACTCTTAACAGTTTTATTTTAATTTCTTTACAATATATTTCCCATAAAGCATCATAAACGTAAAGGTGAAAGCTAAGTACAAAAAAAAAAAAAAAAAAAAATTAGACCGCTGAAAGTTTTTCGTTAAAAATAACGGGTAAATAATTTGTTCACGTAAATGTAAATTATTTCACTTTTCTCCTTCCGTAGAACAAATTAGCCTCATGGAATTAAGTAAATATATCATTCATCACATGTCAAGAGACAGCGAAAGTTTATGACCTGCTTTGTTTTATTTTCAAATTACATCTTTTTGACACAAAAGCTAAGTTAAGTTTGGTTCAAAATATTTTAAATAAACATTATAATTTCTGATTTTCTTAAAATAAGTTTTTGAAAAATGATAATTGATATTTTAAAAAATTTCAAAGTCAGATTTTCAGTTTTTTTTAAAATGGAAAAAAATGGTCAATTTTGCTGACTCAAAAAAAACTAGATTTTTAACAAAAATTTCGGACGTGCTAGGAATGATTAAAAATGGAAAAAATACCCCAAAAATACTTTGACCTTTCCTCTTAATAATAACAAGCATTTAGACGATAAAATTTTGTTTTCGTCAAGTTTGGCGTCTTTTTCATCATGCTATGCTCTTTTTTTAGCGATCTCGTGGAGGTACCTATGTTTTTATTATTTATAACTAAGAAAATTCAGTCAACAAAATTTTAGGAATGCAATTCTATCTTGTCTTCAGGAAAATGTTATTAATGAAATGGACATTTTTGTGCTGTAGTCTTTTGTTATAAAAAAATAAAAAGCTCCTTTTTCTTTCTTTTTTCTTTTTTCTAATTTTATCTTTTCATCAAATTTAGGGAAAAATATCAATTATAATTTTGTTTTTATAAATTTATTGGAAAGTATTGTTAAATGTTGTCTTTCAGTAGAGATGTTACCTTTTAAAAAAAAGTAAATAAAGCAAACAGCTTTGTTGTTTGAGTTGAAGAACTTGTCCTCTTTTCATATTTTTTAATAAATGAAACATTTAAACCGTTTTTTACTATTGTTTTACCTTTCTGTTATTAGTCTATTGAGTATCAGTCTATTGACCTACTCTGATGTCTTCTCTCATGTAACTCTCTGTTGATAGTCATAATCTTGTTTACAACTGCTGCTTCTCCAAGCCACAGCAAATCCCCACCCCCAATGTTCTTGTCCATCTTTTCAACTCTGAGTGCCAATCAAACTCGCTTAACAGCCATGTTTAAAGTTGTATTTTGCTCTTCTTTTTAATGCTATGTCCATTCAGGATGTAGGGGATCTTGGCTTTGCATGGATTTGTTTTCTTACTTACAAATTGTAACATGTTGGGAAAGATAGTGAATTGGTTTGTCTATTACATTCTCCATGGTTTTGTATTCAGAATTTTCCTCCTAGACTAGCTGCCATGCAAGGCAAACTACACTACTGTCTAACCCATAGCTGCAGGGAGAAGAGATGAATTCACATCTTTTCCAAGGATATTAGTATGAAAATTAATGCAGTGGACTAGGCTGGAATTTGAACTCTGTTTGCTGATTGTCCACATTCCATACTGATAACTGTTACACAATTTGCACATTAAAGCAACTAAAAGAATACTTATTTTTTTACACTTAAGCTTTTCCAAAGGAAATTACTGCAAAGTGAATGTAAACAGACTTGGGTGGAACTTGAATTCAATTTAGATTCCACTATACCCATTACACTACACGCACATCCATTATACTAAAATTGATTTAAAATATATTTATTTCATTTTTATGATATATTTTGTTTTTTAAAATTTTAGTTTTAAATTTGAAAGTTTTTTTTATGAACTGTATTTCATCTCTCTCTTTTTCTGCAGATGGCAATAATCGTCAGAAATTTATCTTTTGATGAAGAAAATATGCAGGTCTTAGCCTCCAATAGGAATGTATTTAGGTTTGTAAACATTTTTCTACTTTTATTTTTTTATTTATTTTATTTTTTTTCTCTGTAATTGTATTTTGCTCTTCTGTATTTTTGGGAATTCATTTCCATGTATATGCCCATTTGAATTTTAATGTTAGAACAGGTCTTAATTTATCTAAATTAAACTGCAGTTTTATTGAATATACTTAATGATTTTCACTAACCATGTATTTAAATATTTCATTCTGAGATATGATACTTCTAAGGTATCCAACTTTTCAGAAAATATTTGTCAGTAAGAATTAATACTACTTATTCAGAAAGGATTTAATTTTTTGTTATTTCAAATTGAAAATGAGTTCAAAGTAGAATTTACTGGACAAGAATATTGTTTATATTAAGTTTTTTAATATTTGTTGTAGGTTTCTGTTACTATGCATTTATAGCAAGTATGGCTCACTTCGACAGATAGGACTTGATACACTTGGAAATTCTGCTTTACAGGTAATTTAACAATTTTGTATTGGTGTTTTTTTTTTTTTAATAAAACTATTGTAAACACATTTTAACTTCTAAATAAAAATTAGTTGCAAAAGCTGTATTTACTTTAAAAGATTTTGAAAGTAGTTCAATAACTGCAGTTAGCTGCAAACTGCTAATGAGCAAACTAAATAATAAACAAAAAATAGCTTAAAAATAACTTAGTCTCAATTAAAAATAATGAATTAAACTAATTCAGTATTTCCATTGGGGTTTAACCTATTAATATTTGTCATCTCATTTTTGAGTCAGTGAACATTAATTGGTTATTGGTAGGAACCTATAATACTGGACTTCTATTTTAATGTTTGCAATTAATACTGAATTATATGTTAGACATTAATGGATTAATCAAACTTAATATTGCTTATTGTAAAATTAAAGAATTTTTTTATCATTACTAAAACTCTACTATTGTGATTAGTTTTGAAAAATATAGAAAATTTTCTGTTCCATTTAATAGTTTTCAGTTATTAGTCTCTGATGTCATTTTCTTAAATGAGCTAAAACGTTTTGTGGTTTTTGCAAAGATATATATATAAGATTTGAATACATTCATTTCAGTTAGCAATGCTTCTCTGCCATATCTATATGCTTGACTACAAACAATTTAATTTATAAAACAATTTTCCTTTTTTTATTTATAAATTGACTCAGTACTTGGGTGGGCTGCTGAAAAGTTTTGGCCTGACCAAGAACATCGCTCTCCCACTCCTCCCAAATAAAAATTTGATACTTGTTTGGACAGATCAGTCCAAGAATTTTTAACACCTTGTATAACTTCAAACCATTAAGAACAGAATCTTTAAATTAGGTGTGGAGCAGAAGTTAATTTATCTCCCTTAGATGTTAAACAAATTTAGAATGGATGTATTTTCGCTTTCAATGTGTGTGTGTGTGTGTGTGTGTGTGCGTGTAATTGTGCTTCTTTAACGCAATAACTGTTGCTGCCGAATATTTTTTCCTTTCTAGAAATATATTAAATTTTATTTCAATCTTTCAGATGGTACTTGAAAGTGTTGATCACCCTGACACACAGTTGATATTGCGATTAGTATCCAAATGTTTGTCTTCAAGTGACAAATGTGAGGTTGTTCGTGGTAAGGCTTTAAAAAATTTTTCTCTTCCTGTTGGCTATAATATGACCTGTTGCTATGTGGTAAAATATTTTAATAAAGTTTTTTTTTATGAAAATCCAAACATAAATTAAACAATTCTTTAATACCAAATGTGTATGAGATTCTCTCAACTCCTCTAAGGTTTTTTATTCATTTTAGTAATTGTAACTCAAACAAGAAAATAATTTAATTAATTATTTATTTATTTTTTTTTTTTTTTTTTTTTAAATTAATCAGTATTTTTTTCCACAAATAAAGCAAATTTTGTTGCATTAAATTGTCTAAAATAATGCTTATGACTTAATCAATTCTTTTCTTTTTAGATTTTGTGTAATTCCTTTAAAATTCTCTTTTAGGGTTAGAAATTTTGAGTAAATTGTGTCAAGTTGAAGAAAATGAAAGCCTACTGTCTGAACATCTCGAGAGCAAAGCTTATGAAGATATCTGTAAATTATTGACTGTTCATGACATTCAGCTGATTATCTACACTCTGGAAGCTCTCTATCAGTTATCAGAGTTAGGAGAATCGACTGCAAATGCAATTGCTTCAGTCAAGCATGCTGTTGGTAGGTGGCATTGATTTTTATGTATCTTATCATGGCTCAAATTTCATATGAAGCTTTCTTTTAAAAAATGTTTGGATCAATATTAAATGGCTGTTAGAATTGTAGATTTTTTTTTTTTTTTTTTTTTTTTTGACCACATGAAGCAGTGTGACTGTGGGAATAACTTATTATAATTTTCTGTTTAATCATTAGTTAAATTTCAATTTCAAATATGGAGTTGGGTATATTGTATAAGGGACAAGAGTAAAACAAGTCAAAGAATTTTTTTTTTTTTTTTTTTTCATCATAAACTCCATTTCAGTTTCAAAGTTGGTAGTAGTATTTAAAATTATTTTGCCTAGAAAAATTCACTGAATCAAATTTTACTTGACAAAAAAATGTTAAATAAATACATGTGCAAGGGGTGTTAAAGATTCTCCCATGGTCAAAGCCAGTGGTTCCCAAATGGTACGGTGAACCTCATAAGTTTGGCAGAAAAGGATAGCAGACGAGGAATGATTGAAAGACAATCAAAGATTTAGAAACCATTTTAAAAAAATTGTATGCCAAAAATAAATTTGATTTCAAAATTTAAAATATTCTGGATTACTTGTAATTGCATGCATGAGTCCCTGTATAAATAGTTATAAATAATTATTGACTTATTTTATCATTTTGATATTTTTTTGCATTATATCTTGTACTGAGAATATAACTAGGATCTTCAAATTGGAGGTGGGAGTTTGCAATGATGATGTTCTGACTTCAAATCCCCTCTCTCTGTTTACTTTTATCACATAAAATTTGGTGAGGTGCAGGCAAATTTTCATTTCAGAAATGCAGCCCAGAGGAAAAAAAAAAAATTGGTAACCACTGGTCTAACCCAGGCATTTTTAAATTTGGAGCGGGGATGGGTACAGAATTTTTGCATTTTTTTCCCCCTTATCTCTCTCCCTTTAATCTCCATTCTACTTTTTATTTTATTTTTATTTCTATTTTTAATAGAATTGTCACATATTAAATAGGCATGTGTGCAGAAATAATGTGGTTATTGCTTTTAATAAATTTAGTATAAAACTTAATTCCTAAAGCTTGTTTAAATGTTCCAAGTGCAGAGAACAGTTTAATATTTTGAAGAATATCATTTCAGATATTTTGGTGCAGCTAGTCACTGTAGAAGCTCAGTCTTATGGTCCAAATTCTTTGATTGGAATCAAAGTTGTTGAATTTGTTCCCCATCAGTCAGCTGGTGGGACTACTGTTGGACCTCCTGTTCCTCCTCAACCGCCACCACCCTTAGCGATGAGCAGCAGTAAGTAGATTCTTTAAGAAGGACATTTTAATTCCCTTAAATTCAAGTTATTCTAAAATGTCTCATTACTATTGGAAAACTTGATTTTGATAAACATATTTAGCAGCAATGTTTTTAGTATATTTGTATTATTTAACTGTTTTTGAAAAACAGCATTTTGGTAATTGTATTAGTCAATAATATTGAACTTTTTAGCATTTCTTCAAAAATATATAAAGCAAGCTCTAAAAGAGGGAAACAATACAATATTAGAAAATGTGTAAAAGGATGTAAAAATTCAAGGAATATTTTCATTATAAAACAAATGAAGATAAAAATTAAAAAAGCAAATTAAACTTCATTTTACTGATAAAAATATTTGTAAAACATTTTTTTTTTTCATTTTTAGAGGTAATACCTCCACCTGGCGCTCCACCCAGCCCAGAAATAGAAACAACATGTAATTGGTAAGAAAATTCTTCTTCTTCCTTTTTTTTTTTTTTTTTTTTTTTTTACAAAATAAAACATTTATTCATCATAATGTATAATTGCATTAATGTGAATGGCTTTCATTACCAAAATGGAAAAGCATTAAAAACATGTTAATATTGAATTAATGTTTTATTTTGTTTAAAGCTCGAGCATACTAAAAAAAAACAACAAAAAACTTGTATTAAGTTTATCATGGATAATTAAATGATGTTTACTTTTTGAAATAATGTTTACTTTTTGAAATAATGTTTTATCTTAATATGTAAATTTAGTCATTTACTAAGTAAATGTATTGATGTTTTTTGTTTTGTCTTTTTTTTTTTTTTTTTTTTTCTTTTTAGGTTACGGGCCAATATAGAATTGAAAGATGGAAGCTACATGTCTCACTTGTCATTGTACACAGACTATTTAACATTCTGTAAGAAATTTTCTTTACCAAACCCATTGAATAGCTCTGTGTTGCATACATGTGTCAAGTAAGTATCTTGTAAAATTCTGCAAAATAGTTACATAATTGTTGAAGTATTATTTCTAATTTAATCATTTTTATTTCTAAGTTTTGATGTTAAACCAATGTAAACTAGTAGCAGTATTAGCATTGGTTTTAAAACCAGACAAAAGCAAATGTTAGCAGCTATGGTAATTTCAAGGTGTGAAGAAACATTGGTTTTGTTTTTATTTATTTTTTTTTAGTTACCTTTTTATTAGTTTACTTTAATGTATAATGTTTATGCTTAAACTTCTTATTCAGTCATATTTTCTCAAGTATGTTGATTGCAATTAACATTCTCATTCATTATGAATATATATATATATATATATATATATATATATATATATATACACACACACACACAGACACACACACACACGAGGTCTGAAAAGTAATGGGACTGGGTGTGCTGTGTGAGCTATGGACAGAAGATAAACAGATTGTATTATCATCTAACATGATATATTGGGAATATATAACTCTAATCTTAGTTTTCTGCAACCATTGCATTTTTTCCTCTTTTTTTTTTTCCCCCCAGCTTTTATGGCAGGACAAACTCGTGGCTGTTTCACCATGACAATGCACTTGCTCATAACGCTCTGAGTATCCGTCAGTTTCTGGCTGAGAACAACACCTCTATTCACCTGATCTTGTTTTGTGTGACTTTCTTCTTTTTCCCAAGATCAAGTGGATCAACAAGAGGACCCGTTTTGAAAGCGTGAAGGCCACCAGGAGGGTCGTAATGACAGAACTGAGGGACATCCAAGAAGAATCCTTCCAGCAGTGCATGGAAGGATGGAAAAGTGCATCACATGAGGTGGATTACTTTGAAGGGGAAACCATGTAGTTATTTGGAATTGAAATAAATTGTTTGTGACACCAGTCTCGTTACTTTTCAAACAAACCTCGTATATACACAGACAGGTCCTGAAAGGTTCTTATCCTAACTCGGTTCTTAAATTTTCATTAAATGATCAAACATCATATTTTTGCTTTTTTTTAAAGTTTGTAGGTTAAACTGAGAACTTTTCAGTGCATCTTCTCTCCCCCTCTTTCTCTCACACACTTAGGTGTACATAATTTAAAGAATTGTATAAATAAAACAATATCTGTAAAAGGAAATTTATTTTGCATGGTAGCCTTTAATTTGATGCAATGTTCATTTCTTTCATTGATCATCTGATCCTTTCTCCTAAAATTTCTATTCATCTTCATTTTCCCATAAAAATTTATTCACAATTAAAGTTTAGTTTGTTCTCTGTCATTATTATTATGGGCAATATTTTTTTTTTTTTTTTTTTTCCCCTGTGCAGAGCTGTATTTCCAAATGTTGATGAGAAGATTATTGAAAGAAAAGATGGAAACAAAGATATTCAATTCAGTGGCTTTTCTAAGAGACAAACACCTCTCCCTTTTGCAATTACTTGGCAAGGTATGTATATCTGGGGGGGACAGTAAATAAGATTAATCACTTTAAGCAGATTACTCACTTAAGTGAACAAATTAAAAAATGTTATTCTCACTTCATCACTTTCTTTAATTGACAACTGCAACTGAACCAGTATTGGCTCAAATTATTTGACAGCTAAAAAAAATGCCACAAATTAAAATTTAATGTCAGTTGCTTTTTTACAATGAAAATATTTTTGCTGTTGAATTTAGTTTTAAACTCAAATTTTAACTCTTAATGAAATTGATTTCCATTCTTAGACATTGAATCAGTTCAATGATAATTCTACATAATTTTACTCTTATGTAAATGTGAATAATTTCATTCAAATCCCTGTACTTTGAAATAAAGTGTTTTAGTTGAACTGTGTTTGGAATTGAAATGTCATCTAAAATGCAATTGGTAATATCAACATTTTTAATTAAAGCAAGGTTATTTTTTTTTTTATTGAGATATTAAATTAACATCATTTAGAAAACATTTTTTCTTTATATTTTTTAAGCTTGATGTGATTATTATATTTTCTATTTAATGTTAAATGAAAAATTAATAATTTGTAATAACTCTTTTGCAGTATTAATTCTAATATGTTGCTATTGATAAAACTTTACAAGGTTTTAAAATTTTCTCTTCAGTGCATAATTATTGTGAATATTTCTTTCTCAATTTAATTTGTCTTAATCCCGAACTCTATATGCAATCTCTAATTGTTGACCTTTTGATAAAAAAAAAAAAAAAAAAACATCCTAGATTTTTCTTGATCATTTCCTATTTGATTCTTTGATGGTTGTTAATCACACTGAGAGGAAGTTGGTTTGGAAGCTACTTTATTGGATGTGTAGCAGCTTTGCATGTGTTTTTGTTCCTTTTTATTTTCCTTTTATTCATTACCAGTGTTTTCTGGTGGTTGTTGTTTACTTGGTATTGCATGAATTTTTGTCCCTCTTAAACTTTCATATCTTTGGTTGGTCTAGCTAACACCTTAAAATGGCTTTTTCCAAAAATTTTCAAAATTGATAATTTATCTAATATTGAGATATTGAGATATTCCGTCTAAGATGAAGAATTATAAAAATAATGATTAGTGCATTACTTTAAAAAAAAATTATATAATTTTTTTAACTCAAAAAAAAATATGGAAATTGATGACCAACCAACTGATGTGAATTCTGTTTGATATTTGGTTTTTGAAAATTTGATGTCTTTTTTTTTTTTTTTTTTTCATATCTTTGTGTATCTAATGTTTTAAAAAATGATTAAAGAAAAACTTTTAGTTTTAATTATATAATTATCATTTTGATATAGATGCTATTATAAGTGACATTATTTTCACCTGATAGAATGAAAAATTTAATGTAAGAATAATTGAAATTTAGGTTTTACTATGATAATCAGGTGTAAAAAAAAAAGTTATTTAAATTTCTAAGTTTCTTAAACACTCAATGTAGACTTAACAATTTCAGTAATGTCATCAGCACTTGAATGTTTTCAAACATAACTATGAGAGGATACCAAAAAGTTTTTGGCTTGACCAACTTCAAATATCTGAAATTTCATTTAGTTTTACTTACTTTGGTTGGTCAAGCTGGAAACTTTTCAGCACCCTTTTTAAATAATTTACTAAAGCCGTCACTCAAGTTAATTCTTAATTCTGTTTTGTAGTCATTTATTCATATATTCTTATTTTGTTGGAAAGACTTTTATTAGCACTAATAGTAATACTGTAGTAATTATATAATTTAAAAACTTCTTAACTAGAGGTCAGTCTCTCTCTCTCTCACACACACAGAGAGGTTCTGCTCAATTTTTTTCTAAGATTCTTATAAATAGCTTTTTGTTTGAATATCTTACATTATAGAATAGATCTTTATTCCTAAAAAATTGGTATTGTAGTTAGTTATTCTTGTACACTGATGTACCAAAAAGTTATAAGATAGTAGTATGTAAAGGTAATGGTGGGTTGTAACATTGTACACTGACACTATGGAAATGTTCAAACCTGTATCAGTTGTGTTTTGATATCTGAATAGTCAGTGTGAACACTGGATAGGCTGCTTCTGGTAAGGCAACATGGATTATCAGACTGTGAATGGGGCATGATGGTGGTGCCAGACATTTGACACTCCTTCATCAGAAGTGTATACTGAGAATACTTGTTTTGGACTGATGGTAATGTTCATGTGTAGCACAAACCTCATGAGACCATGAACCACAGTTGTCAACAAAGCAGGTTGTTGGTTGTGCAATAATGATGTAGGATGTGTTTTTGTAGTTTGGGTTGAGTGATAACTATTATTTTGTACTTCTTTGTGACCATTTACGCCCATTCAAGGATCCCATGTACTCCAAACAATGATAATACACTCTCGAGTTGCACAGAATTTGTTGAATACCATTTTGAAGATTCCTAACGAATGGTGTGGATACTACATTCACCTGGCATGAGACCAATTCTTCTGACAACTTGTGGAAATGATGCCAAATTGCTGAACTTTGCCAAACTAGTGGGTGGAGGGAGTCTACACAATACTAGACACCTAATCCTAAACCTTTTGGTATGTCTGTGTATTTATTATTACTTAAATACTTAGAACCTGTTAATAAGTTGCATCAATTAGTTTCTACAACTCTTACCTATAAAATTTATTTTCCTGCATATGAATTTTCCCTTGCCAGTCTTTGTAAATTTCTTTTTATCCTATGTAACCATGTTCTTTTTTTTTTTATTATCTTTTAGTTTTTAAAACTTTATACTTTTGTGTTCTATCTGGAAAGATTTTCTGCTCTTAAGCATAAAAAAAATATTTGTACTTTCTTCTTTTATTTAAGAAGAATAATGCACATTATTCACCTGTATTGTGTTTGTACATTGTTTTTGGTCTGACTGTGACCAATTTGATAGACAATTACTTTTATATATAATTTCTAGATTGAACACTTTAGTGATTTTTTTTTTTTTTTTTTTGTCAAATTTTCTTTTCTGTCAATTTTGTTTGTGCTGTAGTGTCATGCTGTGCAATGTTTTTTATGTTTCTTGCTTTCAGTTGATAAACCTCCTAGTATTCACTCATCGCATGGCTTTCAGAGAGCATCTAACTCTTCTCAGTCGTGTTTAACACATACTCCAACATTAAGACAGCGACTTTTGGAACCACCTCTGGTCCCTCTACAACCGGATTCTTGCCCACCTTTCCCTGCAGGTAGTAGCAGTACTCATTCAAGTCAAGTTCCTGGTGTTCAACATGCAACGATGACTGTAGGGACTAACCCAGTCACTCCTCATACACCAAAGAGCCACCATGTCCAGTCCAGTCAACAAAAGCACTGTGCGAAACTTCTCCAATCCCCAGGAACCCCATTACGAACCACTTTAGCCAGTCCATCAGCATCTGCTCCCTCAACACCTGTAAATCGTCCACTTGTTGTGTCCTCACTTCCTTCATTGGTTTCCAGCTCACCTGCTGGTAAGACTGTGTCGGTTCTTCAACAACAGTTAAGATCACCAATTGCTCAGCAATCGTCAAAATTGCAGGACTCTGCCCTTAGTCCCCAAAATGCTGCTAGTCCAAACCAGCACTACCCTTGCATTCAACATGCTTTGCACAATGAACAAGACCAGAATGCAAATCAAGGCTCCTTAAGGCAGCAGTCAAGACCAAATATGCAAGGTAAAAATAGCAATATTTCATTCCAAGATAATGGTGGGACAGCTGGCCGCAATTCCTCAGACACAAATCTCATTAAGTCATTGCTTGCTAAAAAACTGAACCAAAATCGAGGAACACAAAACTCGGCTGGACAGCAGTATCAGTGCCATGAATCTCCAGCATCAAATGCAACATCTGTTTGTAATGCCCCACCTTCGCCAGCTCGTTCAGATGCAGCTGTATCTCAAGATGACTTTCCTATGTTAGAAACAAAACCTTGCACCAAAGCACCTCTGCAAACTGGAGGTGCAGGTTGGACGCAACAACAGCAGCAGCAGCAGCAGCATCCCATTGATTCTCCTGCGCAGTCTGATACCATGGAATCACAGACATCTATTAGTCAAGACTCTCAGTATACAGATGACCAATCATCAATGGAGACCAAAGCAACTGAACAAGTAATTGGGAAGGAGCAAATGGCACAAGAGGTAAAATGTGATGGCTCTTTACAAGAAGAGAGTATGGAAGTCGATACCACTTTGCCAAATTCACAACCAAAATCTTTAGAATCTGGTCAGATAACATCACAGGAAAGCTTGAAAGAACAGCCTGCTGGAGATGTTCAATCAACGACACCAACTACAGATGGAAATTTGCCAATGCAGGCCAAAGAGCCATCTAGTTCTGTTCCAGTATCAACATCTGTACAGAATTCACATGTAGAAGATCAGTCCACTGTAAAGAACACTCCACAGCAATCCCACTTACAACTAAATCCTGATGCTTCCAAGTCGAGTGTTTCCAGTGAACCCATTGTCATACAGGCTGCACAACAATTAGAGCAGCATCCTCTCGTGGTGCAGCCTTCTTCAAAACTAAACAATCCGCAACAGAAATCTGCCGAACTAGTTATTCAGGTGGGATCAGAGACAAGCATGCAGCAACAAGAAGTTGTAATTCAGCCTGCAACTGACCAGTTGAATAATGAAGACTTAGTGATCCAGGCCCAGCTTCAGGACCAACAAGATGTGATGCAGCCGATGACCTCTCACCAACAAGGTGAGCAGTTTGTCATTCAGGGCTCTCAAATACTAATCCAGCAGCCGCCCACCCAACAACAGCTGTTGATCCAAGTGCCAGCCCAACCTGCTCAACCCATTCAACCAGCTCAGCAGCTAGTTATCCAGACTACACCTCCAGCTCCTGCCCAGCAGACCCAACAGCTGGTTATTCAAGTACCTCCACAACAGCAGCAATTTGTGATACAGGCCCAACAATCCTCATCATCATCACCTCAAGCACAGCAACAATTTCAGCAGCAAATTGTCATACATGATTTGCCTGAAGACTCCTCTCAGGAGATGACGTCTGAAAACCAGCAGTTTGAAGGCCTGCAGCAGTCCAACTTCTCCCAGCAGTCCCCTGTGCAATTTGGACAGGATCAAATCCAGTTGCTTGGTCAGTCGCAGCTGCCTACTACCTGCAGTCAGTCTGCTGCTACCACTACCACTACGACCACCAATGCCAATACTTTATATTCTCAGCCACAGAAATCAGTGTATCAACCGGTTGATAACAGCCTACAACAGAATCAAGTGGTCATCCAATATCAGCCAGTGTCCCAATCTGGAACAACTGCCTCACTGCCTATTCTGCCAAAAGTGTCACCTGCCTCTCCAGGTGAAGCATCCCTAGACAGCAGCTTGTCTCCACAGACTTTGACAAAGTGTGTTTTTCAGTCTCAGGGACCCCTGTTCCCTTCTAGTCAAAATATACAACTGGAAAATTCACAGAAAAGCAAGAAAGGCAGAACTAGTCCAGTTAACAAGAATACAAGTGTCCACACATGTCGAGCTATGGTCAAGTCGACAGTGCCTAAACAGAAACTGACCCAAAGTTCTGATTCCACTATACCTCTCACTTCATCCCCCTGCTCGCCACGGGCGTTTGAACTTGAAGTTTGCGGGGAAGTGGAATGTGCTAAAGATATAGTGAAAGAAGGAGCGGAGGCCAGAATTGAGCGTGTTGAAAATAAATGCCTAAGACTGTTTGATAGGCCAGTCGAGCCGTCCAATGTAGAAAATACAGAGTCTTCACAAGCCCCAGGTGTAGTTGGTAATGCCAAAGAATTGCCAGATTCTGTAACAAAAAATAACTTATTGCCATGTGCTGATCATAAAAAACTATTACATAATCACACACACAGCATTCCTAGTACAAATACAGAGTTGAAGGACAAAATTGCTGAACCACCTGTGGCTTTTGTATATTCAACAGATACTGTTCCCAAAAGGAATGTTGAATTTGTAGGCAGCAACACCTGTCATAGCATTCACGATTCATCCACATGTCATCTGCACAGACCACTGTCGTCATCCAAGGTAAAAGAGGAGAAAACTACAGTAGCAGATAGTGTTATAAAGGTCGAATGTCCAAATTCTAATATGGTACAAACTAAAAAAGAAGAGCAAACTATATTATCACACGATACCTCTGTGGAAAATGAAAATTTGGGCCCAAAGCAAACAGCTAGCACCAAGTGTGAGTCTCCTAAACCTAACCGGACAGTCTATGCGCCGGTAGCACAAGTTAATGGTGCAGCTCCTGCGACATCTGATGCTTCTGTTGTTCGACCAGTGCCTCAGTGCACACACAACCGGGCTGTAGATGAATCTTCCAAACTGTGTAGCTCGGAGCTACTTCATAATGGACTTGCAACTTCTTCTCCCACTGCTATGGAAACGAAGCTCAACTTGAACGAGTTAAAAAATTCAGAAGAGCTCAGTGCAAATGAAAAGACTGTTTTACATAAACCAGTAGACCGGTTAGGAAAAGTGAATGGTATTATTAATCATTTAGGCAGCAATGAGTGTAAACCTTCATTAGATACTAAAACAGTGGTGTTGGCAGAGAATCAGAATCAAAAAGAAAGAAAACGAAAAGCAAGTGTTTCATCATTGTCACCAAACTCATCCTCATCAAATTCTTCATCTACTGTTGCTAGAGTTCCAGAAAATGGTTGTGTTGTAAATGGTCTTCAAGAAAATGTTAACATAAATGATTGTAAATTTTTAACGGACAATAATAATATTGAAAGGACTGCAACAAATTTGAATTCTGGCTCTTGTGCTAAGAAGCATCGTCAGTCAGAAGTAACTGGTAACAATTCATTGAAGAAAAAATCTGAAAAAAGTAATACAACTGTGGTATGTAGCTATGTAAATAGGACTTGTGAGTCACGGTTGGTTCCTCCACCACCAGATTCTGTAGATGGAGATATTAGCTGTGACAGCTCTAGTGTTTCTTCAGTTCAGGACGCTTTTGATAAACAGCATTCCAACTTAAATCAGGGATTACCAGGTACGCTGTTAAGTAAAGATAATAAAGATACTGCTCTTCGCCCTGGTCAGTCCATATCCCCTAAAGGTGGTACTGGGGGAAATTTGGACAAGTCTGCTAAAGCTCGAAAAAGAATTCGCAACAATACTGGAAGTGTGGATTCTCGATGTTCCTCTGCCGGTTCAGAATTTGTTTGTGAATGGGCCAATTGCAAAAGGTATATTTTATTTTCTAGTTTTTTTTATTCTTTTATTACATATATATCCTTATTTTAAACAAGATTTTAAACTTAATTTAGGTACCTCCACAAAAACACAATACACAACATTTAAAATGAATTTCTAATAATGAAAAATCTTTCTTGAAGCTTCTATTTTAATTTCAAGCTGATAAATTAGATATTTCCAATAAACAAAATACTATGCTGTATTTCAAAACTAATTTAAATTGATTGGAAGGAGTTTTTATTTTGAAATTTCTATAAAAAATTTAGCACCATTTTTAGCAAACTGTTATAAAAATGTAAATCTCTTTTTCTTTTTTTTTTTTTTTTTTTTCTTAAATCCTCCAAAAACAAAATATACTTTTCTGAAACTTTATTTCAGGAATATAATCTGATTTAAAGTATAATTCATCTGATTTGAAACAACTAATATTTAATTTAAGTTTAAAATATCACAGAAATGCATTTTTTAACATGGCAGTAGCTTGTTTATTTATGCTGGCAGCTTTTTAACAGCTCTGTGACAGTTCAATGACAGATTTTTATCTAATGTTCTATGTGGCTTTAACCTTGAAAAAAATAGTTGAGGAATATAATGCAAGCCCCTTTTAAGTACTCTGCAATCTTAAAAATTTAAGAAAATATTCTCTGTAATCTAATGTTTTATTGAATTTATTGAGCTCTAAATTTATTATAGTTATTGCTATTTTCTGATAGTGTTGTGTATGGGTGACCATATCTATAAAATTGAGCACATTTATACACATACGAAATTCAAAATTCTTTTAAAAATATTAGGCTGTCAGATTGCAATAAGCTTTACAATATATGATTAGTAAATATAGTTTTACTTGATGCCAATATTTCCTAAGAGTTACACCATTGAAACTGAATTTTAATATTTAAAAATATTATCAGTTATTCTAATTAAAATTGGGGGGAAAAAAAAAGAAAAATCTTGTAAAAATTGATTTTTCATTGAAAAATTTTTTTTCTTAAGACAATATTGTCCTTTATATATATATTATTCATAAAAACAATTAAAAGCTTCTCTAATTAAATAATGTCTTAGTTTTATTGCATTTTTTATTTTATGATTCAGAGCAGATTTTTCATAAGACGGAGTCTGATTTTACAAAAAAAAAAAAAATACATGATTTAAATTCTCCAAAGAGTTCTGCTTTTGACTAATATAGTCACTAAAAAATATCGCACTTAATTTCTTGAGTTTTCATAAAATTAAGTAGGGTGAAACACGTGTGTGGGTGTGTGTAAAATATATATATATATATATATATATATATATATCAAGATTTTCTTAAAAATAAATTCATTTGTAAATAAGTCCTGAAATCTTTCATTAAACATTTATTAGATTTTTGTAAGAATTTCCAAATTAATGTGTCTGTCACTGCAAAAAAGCTGCTAAAATTTGCTATGTTAATTTACAGAGAAGAAAAACAAGATTTTTAATGAAAATTTTGAATCTTAAAAGGATTAAAAAACTTAATTAAATAATCAAAAAAATACTTCGATCTTTCCTCTTAATAATTTAATAATGAAGATTTATATGATAAAATTGTGTTTTCATTAAGTTTGAAGCTTTTTTTTTTTTTATCTCAGTATGCTAATTTTTTAACAATTTTGTGGAGGTTCCTATAAATGCTGGCAATATAAAATATACCTACTGTTGCATAAACTTCAGGATGAACATTTTTGTGACTGTTCCAAAAAAATAAAATCACATGTTTATAGATTTACAAAAAATAGCAAAATGGGAAATAAGAAAAATGTGCTTTTGTTTGTGTGAAATACTTTCAAAAATTTGATAGTTTTAGAATAGTGGAAACATTTTAATTATCCATAAATTGTACTCATATTTTAAAGTATGAATTTTTTAAATTAAAAGAAATTTTTAAGTTGAACTAAATTTGAAAAATGAAGCTACATAGGTTTTAATTTTGGTATTGGATATATAACCTCAAATGTTTTATTTTACGTATTTTTTACTAAGTCTAATTTATGATTTAACAAACTGTTTTTTTTTTTTTTTTTTTTTTTAATATTGTTAGAAATATTAAAAAAAATATAAAATTAATACAAATGAGATTTCATTTATATTATAAATATTTATATTGTTAGTTTACTTTTTTCTTGCTTCTTAGTGGCTATATGGAAGTCTACTGCACTCTTATTGGGGAAAATGTCTGTAATTTTACTATTATCGCAGATAAACATTTCTTACCATGAGTATTTGCAACTTAGAATAGTAACCTTAGCTTACTAGTTTGTTTTCTGATCAGTAATTAGTGTTCAAGTTCTTGATCTTGCTAAACACATTCTCATGGAATCTACTGTATTAGGATTCAAAATCTCTCAAAACCAGTATAACAAATTTTATTACATCATTGAACTAAATTTAATTTGTAATTTAATGCTCAATCTGTGTTTATTTTAGATTTCAAAGGATTTTTAAAGTTTCTGTTTTAGCTTTTTTTTTTTTTTTTTTTTTTTAATCAAATTCATTAAAATAAATGTTAATTTTAACAACTGTTTGTTTTATTTCAGATGACTGCATTTTTATTTCATATGAAAAGCTCTTGTAATGAATAATATTTATGACTAATTTTCTACAAAAATGAGCTTGAAACTTGCATATTATTCAGTACTTACACCACTATATATATATATATATATATATAATCACAAATTGAATCCTATTTCAGATATTAAGTAGCTTAATAAAAAAAAAAGTAAACTATTTGATGATTGCAGTTTAATTATTTTGTTATTAATATTGTTTTTTCTTCTTTTTTTCTATTAATGTTATTGCTTGGCATACATTAAGGATGAGAGAGTAATGGATAACAACTCAGAATGCAAAATCGTGTATCCATCTCTGCCCCCAGATATGTGTTACAGCAGGACTTGAACTGGAAAAAATTAATATTCTCAAAAAATTGTAATATTCACTTGCAAAAAACCAAAAATTCTTATAATCCAATATGTTTCGGCTTTAAATAACCTATAGAAGATTGATAAGTCATAAAAAAAACAAAATCAATTTCATAAATGTAACTTTTTGTTTTTGGTGTGCAAATAAATCTAACTAAAATATACTCTTATTTCACAAAAATACTTCTGGGGAGTTAAAAACACATTCATGTTTAAAATTTTATTTTGTTCCTGTGCCAACTTTTAAAAAAATTTACTTAAAAAAAATGCACTAGTTTTATGACAGTAAACATTTAACATGCTTTCATTAGCTACTAAACAATGGTTAATTGTATATTTTCCAAGAAAAATTTTCAAATATAAAATTTATATTGAGAATTTTTAATAGTAAATATTGAATGGAAAACTAAGTCTTTTCACAAAAACTAATCGAAAAAAATTCAACCAATAAAACCTTTTTTTTTTTCTTTAACAAAAATCTAATCTAAATTATACAAGGTGCGATGGATAAATTGTCGACATTTTATATTTTTAATTCTGTGCATGCGTTTTGTTTGTTTGATTTTGTCAAATGCACAGAATAGTAGGGTCAGTTTGGCGCCATCTGTAAGAAAAAGAGCAAAATGATGCAATTCACTGCACCAGAAATTTTGAAACCGCATGCTTTACTGCTTGACATTTTCACTGGAAGCTCCAATACAAACCTTTCAGGGTGTTTGGGTGTCAATATGATGACAGTGCAGAGGATTCAGAAAGAGTTTGATGATATATCCAGTCAACATCATGGTGTTTGGAGTGATCACTAGTGATGGCGACGTTATGCATCATTTCATCTTCCCACAGGGCCTCAGGCTCAACACGGAGGCCTACCACAAGTAATTTAAGGTGGTAGTGCTGCCCTGGGTCAAGAGAGTGGCTGCTGGAAGATGCCATGTCTGTCAACATGGCTCTGCAACATGCTACACATGCAGAAGAAGCCAGTTATGGCTGGGCTGTCAGACAATTTCTGCAACCACATCACCCCTTAAATCTGTCCACCTAACTCCCCAGACTGCAACCCCTCCTTGATTATTATGTGTGGAACACAGTTGAGTGAGAGGCCAACAAAGCTCCTTGTAACACCAAAGATAAACTGAGGGCAAGGATTATAGCAGCATTCACCAACTTAAACATGGCGACCACTCAGAAGAGTTGCAGCAGATTGCAAAGTCATCTGGAGATCGTAGTTGAAGCCAATGGTGATTTTATTGAATAAATTTAATCTTTACTATTTCAAGATACTACTGTGTAATTTTGGTAAATATATTTGTTAAAATGAGATGTCATTATTTAAAATTTTTGTTTAATTTAGACAATATATCCATCGTACTCTGTATATAAAAAAAAGAAGTCTCTGGCAAAATTACTTTCAAATGTAATTGCAGAAAGTAAAAAAAAGTGTTGACAGAAATAATGTCTGATTTAATTATTTGCTATTTTACATAAAAAAGCTTAAAATGTCTTCCTAAACTTTAACCTATATATCTTTTCATATATTTCATATGAAAAAGTAAGATATTCAAAAATTAGCTACTGATGTGAAATTCTTACCCAGAGCATATCATAAACATCACATTTTTAAATTTTTCTGTTATAATAATGTCCCTTAATCATTTTTGTAGGAACAGTATTTAATCTTTTGAAGATTTAAGCATTAAATTTGGTACATAATGTGTGAAGTTGAGTTAATATAAAAGGATTTTAGTGAAATGTTATTGTCACAGTAACATAATTCTAGCATTCTGTATTTTCTGTCTATGTAAATATATGCATCCAATGGGCAAAATAGATTTGATTATTAAATGCTTTAACTGAACTATGAAATTATTATAGAAATCTTTAAATATGAGAGATTGATGAAAAATTTTCAGCCCAACCCACATCTCAAAATTGAACTAAACATCAATTGCAGGAAGAGCTTGATTGAGCCAAGAATATTTCAGCCCCCATTCATATATGTAAATGGATTAAATACACTACTTGCTTTTTATTCTGTTTATATCCGACAAAAGATTTCAGGAATTTGTTGGTTAAATTTGAATCCAGAGGAGAGTTTTACAAAAACTTTAAATTATCAATTTGAAAAAAAATTTTTTTTTTTTTGTTTGTTTTCTTAAAACATTTTTTAAAATGTGAACTATTGACACTTTTAAATTCAAATGAATATTGTAAAATATAAGATATTGAAATTTAATTTTGACAATTTTTACAATAAAGCAATATTGTTTTGTAGATGTTTTGAAAGTAGTAAAAGTGTCTACAGTCATGTGTACAGTGCACATGTGGTAACAGAATCTGATGGCGTTTGTAAATGGGAAGGCTGTGAAAAATTAGAACGCAAAAAATGGTCCCTTGTAACACATATACAGGTAGGTATTTACTCTCCACTTTTGCACTTAACAATATTTGATTTGTTTTTCTTATTTTCGCTTTTCTCCTCTTTAAATCTTAAGTTTTTCTCCTCTCCAAATCTTTGCTTTCTCCTCTCATTTTTTTTTCTTTTCTTTGCTTTCTCTCCGTCTTCGCTTAAAAAGTAAATTTTCCTTTTCTCCTCTCATTTTCTGCTTTCTCCTCTCCGTCTTTCGCTTTCTCCTCTCCGTCTTTCGCTTTCTCCTCTCCGTCTTTCGCTTTCTCCTCTCCGTCTTCTTTTTCTCCTTAAATCTTAAAATTTCTCCTCTCAAATGATGAAGCTTTCTCCTCTGAATCAAAATTTCTCCTCTCCGTTTTTAAGCTTTCTCCTCTCAAGTAAAAGCTTTTCTCCTCTCCGTCTTGCTTTCTCCTCTCGTCTTTTCCTTTCAATCTCCGTCTTTCGGTTTTCTCCTCTCGATAACTTTCTTTTCTCTATCAAATTTTGCTTATTATACTCCTATTAATATAAATTTTTTTATTTTTTATTTTCACACATTACCTGAAGAAGGTAGCTTGCTAAATTTAAGAAAATCATATAAGGTTTAATACATTTATTATTTTTGTATGTAGTTGATCAGTACAATAAATGTTTGACTTTTTTTTTTTAATTGTTTTCAGGATCAGCATTGCTCAGAGGCAGCTTTGCGAGCTGCCAGCCAACGGCGAATCCAGTCTGCTCAGATGAATCTATCAGGTGCAGTAGCACATGCAGCGCCACCTACCCAATCACAACCTCCTCCCCCTCTCCAGGTGAGCCCTGCTGCTGCTTCTGTCAGTGCACCATGTGTTGCTACCCCAGGCAGTGGTGCGAGTGGTGTTGTTGGGACCGGTGTGGCTGCTGCTGCTGCTCCTGGGACTGCTAATCTCGTCTATCCTCCTGATGCTGCCATCCAAGCTATTAGACGATTCTCTGCAAGGCCACCTTTCCCTGAGTTAATGGTAAGTTTTCAATCACTGCCAATGATTGCGGTCATTGAGAACTTCATATAACATCTGGCCCCCCCACAATAAACTGAGCTACACTGCAGTAATAATAGCATTGCTAATTAATGATCTTAAAAGAACTCACTTTGCGCCAAAATTTTATTTCTTTTATATTGTGTTATTCATCCTAGTTTGAATCATATTAGAACATGAATTCTGATCAGGAACATGCTCATTTACACAAGTTTCTGATTATGTGTTTGTGCATGTATGTATGTGTGTGCACACATACATTATATATGCACACACTGTCAAAATCACTATTCTAACACTTAAACTTTTAGACACTTTATTTAATTGAAACCACAGAGCAAAAATTTTTCTTAAAAATGGCAACAAAAGATTTTCTAACATGTTTATCTTTCATACTAAATGCCCTGTTACAAATTTTTGCTACAGCTTGGAAATGCTCTGATTTTGATTTGGACTAAGACAAAAGTTAGGCCAGCTTGGCTTTAGCACATCCCCCACTCCCAACCCTCTAATATTTCACAAAACTAAATTCCTATTCATGGCCTTGATTGAAGTATCAGGAAAAGACGTGTTACATTGTGAGCTAATTGTGCTTTTATATTTTGCCTATTGGAATCATGTGTAAAATTTGAATTTTCCTATTGTTTTTTTTTTTCTTTATAAATTTTTGTTTAAGAACATTAAAAGAGAAAAAAAAACCCTATTTCAAATGCCTAAGTTCAAAATAACTACTAGAAATATAGCATAAGAAATTGCTAGCTTTAAATAGTTCTTTTTTTTTTCTCTAAAGATGTCAAATAATTTGTATTTCATGATAGCTTTTTCTAAAAAATTTTTTCCCCTAAAAGAGAATACTAATGACACAAAAAATCTTTGAATATATGATATATATTTACTAAAAATATGCAGAAACATTTACAAATTTTAAAATTAATTTTCTTCAATACATTTTATTGAAGCTAAGATTTTTTTCTAGCTTATTTCAAAATTAAGAATATATTAACACTAAATTGGATGATCCTTTTTAGAATTCAGTTTTTTCTCTCTGAAACTTTACAGCTGATTATTTTTATGCTAATGTCAATTTAGATATTCACTTTAACTTAACCATTGTCACATAATTTGCTACGTCATCCAATATATCCAATTAAAATAAAGACATCTTGTAGTGTCAGATGCACCAGTATTACTTTATTTGTACTGACAACTGTTAAGGAACATTATTAATTTTAAAATATATTAGTAATAAATATATTTGCTATTTTAAGACTTAGGATACTCGTTTTTGCTTGTGTGCTGTTGCTTTATTTCCTAAGTTGCAAGATGCTGTTTTAACAAGTTTGCCTTGAAGCATGTTTATAACTTGGTTTCTAATCTTGTATGTTGCACTAACTCTCAGTTACTGTCAGTAGCATGTTGTGTATTCTTGAGATTGTTTGCTGTGAACTCTTGTTGTTGATTATTGCTGCATCTCTGTGCTGTTTGAAAAAGATGAAAAACAAAATTGTTGTTTTTACTCATTCAGATATACAATGGACTTCTAAAAAGTTTCTCCACACTGAGCAAAGTAAATTTTCTTGTAATTCAAAGAGAACAGGAAAATTTTCTTCTATGATTTCTTGTATCTGATTTTTTAAAGAAATGGTTTTTGGAGTGTTTTCAGAATATAAATGTTATTTCATTTGTATTAGTTCATAGTCACATATTTAATTAGATTAACTAGTAACTTGCAATTAAAATAGATTTGGAAGTTTGTTAGGTAGTTTTCAGTCTTTGTTGGGTAGTTTTATTTAGAACTTGGAAAAGTTGGTGAGATTACAATAAAAAGAGGTATGACTTATTTACTCCCTCATTTTTGTTTTAAGGTATTATTAAGAATATATGATGCAAACTTTAATTTCAAATTTATAACCTTAGTTAAATTTACAAATTTCTCCCCAAAATAATCTGAGTTTTTTTTAACAGTAGATGTTGGTGTCTTTTTTTTTTTTTTTTTTTTTTAAGGGTGCTAAGGGCTACAAATTCATGAAAATGTATTTGATAAATAAGCAACTTCAAAAATTATTTTGCTTAAAGGGATTAAAAGAAAATGTCTTTATTTCTTTTTAGATATATATAATAAATGTACATTTTTTTCTTTCACCAGTAGTACTATTTTATTATATATACATACAATGGAAATTTAATTCCTATTAACCTTTACAATAGTATTTGTGTATTCAAATATTTCTATATTGCTATAATTTCTTAAAATCAGTTCATATGGTATATGTAGTACCCAATATATTAAGATTAAATTGTAATACATTTGAGATTAATATGCAATAACTAAATAATGTCAGATTTAAAAAATAATTATTTTGCTTAACTGAAATTAAAAAAAAAAAAATTCCTGTTTGCAAAGATTATGTTATTTAATAGATCAAGCTTTGTGTACTTATTGCATTTTTTATTTCCATGATAAAAAATATTGAAGCAAATTATTAAAAAAATTCTTTATTATACAACTAAGTTAATATATAATTGTGTGTGTTTGTTTTTTTTTTGTTTTTTTGTTCCCAAGATTGATCCATTTAATATTATTGAAAAATGTGTTCTATTTTCATTGGTGTCATGGGAGATTTGTCAACTTTATAGTTGCTTTTTTTTTATTTTTTAGCTTCTTAAAAATATTTTTGCTACAAATATATACCTTATTAGTACAAAGTCCCAAAAGCTGGAACCCTGTTTCTACTCTCATAAGTTTACTTGTATCTTAGTTGTATGAATGTTATTTTGCGAATGGTGAATGAAAATTTTTATACAACAGGGAAGTATATTTTTATCTCCTTTGAGTTTTTAAGTTTTACAATTAATCAGAAAAGTAAATTTAAATATGAATTTAATCATTTAATTCCAAAGTTTAAAAATACTATCATTTAAAGCTTTGTGATTTTAATGGCTTATTAATTGTACTTTTAATTAAATACATCTTAAACATGTTTATTTCAGTACAAAACAGAATTTTTTAATCTTTTAAAACATCAACTAAAAATCTTTGTAAATAAATATAAATGCCTTTTTCTATCACCATTTTAAATAAATCATCTAAAGTTTTGCTAATATTTTAAATGAAATTAGAAAATGTGACTCTTTAAATGTTCATTTCATTTGCTTTAATCCTATAAAAACATATCCTTCTGGTGTTAGTATATTTGAAAAAGAAATGCCTTATAAGCAATTGGAAAATGTATTTTCATTGATAATAACTAATACTTTTCTGAAGTAACTGCTTCTACATTTCACTTTACTATTAGCTTCCACAACTGTCTCTTGTTTTTTGTCAGTTTGAGATTAGCAAAATGTAAAATGATTAAAAATAATGGCTGATTCATCTGGTTGGGTTGTTTGGATGCTTTCAATCACTATGAAAATATTCAAACATCTTTACTGTATGAAACTGTAAAGAGCAACAACTGCCATCAATTTTGAGAACATCTATTACAAATTGACAAAAATAATTTGCTCTGTTTACAAATCTAATTTATAATTACTAAATTAAATTCTATGCAATTGTTGAATTTTATTTTTGGTACTTTAGAGTTCTTTCCTTTTTTTTTTCTCTTTTTTTTTCTTTAGATATTTGGGAAAAGTAAAGGAGGGAATTTTTCTTAAAATAGTTTTGAATATTTTAGTTTCATTTACATTTAAGTTAGTATTTTAAGAGAAATACGATAAGAGCTTTTTTAAAAAAATATTGCTGTTCTTATAACTGATTCTAAGGCTTGAAAAGAAAGTTGATAAAAATGACTAATTATTGGATACTAACTTTTAAGAATGATTGTTAGCCAGCATTTTTTAAGCTTCATCTTAATTTTAATTAACTTTTTTTTTCTTTTGCTTGCATTTGAGCTGAAAATTACTAACACAGTAGTCTTAAATCATTTTTCAGGTATTTTTATTTTTTTTTATCAACATTTTCAAAATCTCATTTATATCCCTCTCTTCCGTTCTCATTTTCTATAATTATATTCTTTAATGCCTAAGGAATTTTTCTCTCTTTTCTGGAAGTTTTTGTTTTATGATGTTTTAGTGCAAGTAAACCTGATGATCCTTTTGTTTCTCTTGGCTAAGGAAAATATTAAGTTGGTTCACTTTTTGATCTTTTGTTGGTTCTTCATTTATGTTTTTTCAGTTTGATGATTCAAAGGTTTCTTTGCTTTGTTCTTATTCCTTACTTTTCTTTCTCTCCCCCCCCACCAACTTTTATTCTGAGCCTGAAGGCGTTCACTTGTCAACCCCAGCTTCATGCATGTGTGTGTGTGTGTGTGTTTGTGTTTGTGTGAGTAACTGAACTTCTGCAGCCCATCCAAGTAGTCCTTGATGTCTTTCATGCCATCTCTGGCACCAGTCTGCTGCTGCTGCTGCAATCTCACTCAGTTCTCCTTGTTGTTGATCTTCTGTCTTATTCCGAGCTGGATCTTCTCTTGTAGCCCACAAATCATGTGACATACCCAGTCCATTACCAGAGATATGATTTCAAACCAAGAAATCCAGACTATATTTTTATGGAGATGCAGTTCAACAATAACCCAGTATTCCAGGTGAGTTTTCTCTCCCCAGATGTCATCTCACCTACTCTCTCAGTCAGTTGACTATAGCAATCACCTAGGTGCACTTTAAAATGATTCAACTTTCTTCAAAAGGCACTTGATATTTTAAACTCCTTTTACTTTAGGCTTTCCTTACTGTAGTTGATTTATTTTGATGTTGTATGCAGATCTCTCTTGTTGAAAATGTTAGCCAACCATAGAATTAATGTTTGGGATATTTACTTAGATAAGGTTTGATTTACAAAGCCATTGATTTACCTAATTAGACCAGATTTTTTTTTCCTGATGCTGATGAGTTTCAGTAACCAGCCACTGAACAAAGCTTTGTAATCTTCTACAATATGTGGAGACATGTTGGGAAGTTTCCTAGCTTAGAGCAAGTGGTTGATGTTTTACTGATAAAAAAAACAACCTTTTTTTATTAAGATATTTGCATGAAATTTTGTTAATGCTTGTTATGCTGTTAACTAGTACATGATATTAATAACTTGTGGTCAGTGCTCTGATTATCACCTGCTTTTATTGATGTTCTTTATATAATGCATGCTTATTGTTTTAATTTCTGTTCTACTAAATCTTGCTTTTGATGACTTTCAGACTTGAGTGCTAGCCATTACAAATGGCTTTTTTTCTTTTTAACATTTTACCTGTTTTGCATTTAATTCAATATATTCAATGATAATTGTAAAAATCTTATTTTTGAATGTAAAACTGTTAAACTTGTACATCTTTATATCCAACATTTTCATTAATTTATAAATATTTTTATTAATTGAATTATTGAATTATTTTTCTAAATTTTATGCTTAATTCTTAATTCATCATTTTAGTGAGTGCTTACTGTCCATATTTTTATTTCTATTTTTTATTAATTAATTCCAAGCATTGTCATTTTCAAGTTATAGTGTAAAATATTCCAACATAAATTATGCATAAAGTAGGTGATTTTTTTTCTTTTATAAATGTTATTTTCTGGACAGTATACTTGCTAAAATGAAATAAATGCGGCTTGATTAAAATTATTATTGATTACCAATATTAAAAGAATCTATTAGTTTTGAGTGTAAAAATAACTTTATCAGATGCAGTTTTAAAAAAAAAAATCCTTTTTTTATTTTGCTTAAGAGATTTTAATATTGTTTGTATACTAATATTTCACTTTCAGCTTTGACAATTTTTTTTCATTGTCCTTCAGTGATAATTCTAACCTGAATTAACTTTTATTTAAATTTAAATGCATTCAATTTTCCTTTCTGTATTTAATAAAATGACAAATATTAAAATCTAACTTTTATTTTATGCAAAATAAAAAAACAAAAAACAATGGAAACGGCCCTGCATTTTAGCTTTGCTAATATAGAGCATGAAACTGATGCAGGTGGCATGACTGATTAACTTTTTCACTTTCTAGTAGCATGATTGAGGGTTTTTTATTTTTTTTATTATATACTTAACCTTGCGTTATGTCAGTACATTTTTAATTTCTAAAATCCTCAATAGAAATAAGTATCTAAGGTAAATTAATATTTATCATAGTTTTGATTTTACTAACTTTTTTGAACTGTTGTTTATTTTCCAATCCCATTTCCAACCCATACACAGTCCTTAACTTTCAGTATCACATTCTAAATAATCATTTTAACTATTACACACTCATTTAATGACTGTTCCACTATGTGCCAATCTAAAAATGCATAAGTACCCCCTATCTTCTCTCCTTCCCCTACTTTCCTCTTATAATAACTGCACAAAACTCAAATCTTTTAAATCTATAATAAAATTTGTAGTCTTTCAAACTTATGATTCTTTCTTGAATGAATCACAATTGTATCTTCTCTATTTGTTCTGTCTTGTTTGAGATTATTCTAATGTAAATAATAATTTAAAAGAGGCTATGGAGAGGGGTTTTTTATTTATTTCTTTTTTCCTCTTTCTGGTCCAAACAGCAAAAAAATAAATAAATAAAAAACTGTTTTAACTTTAAAATAAACAATGCACCTGTATGTTTTGCCTCATTTAAAAATAAAACTTGTATCTTTATTATCTTTAGATTACTTTAAGCTTCTTTTATAAGTATTATCTCTATATTTTAGAAATCATTTATTTGATAGAGGTAATATCTTAAAAGACTTTTTTTTTTTCAACTTTTGTTTATATCAATATTAACTACTTTTATTGAACTCTGACCTTAGTATCACATTGTTGAGCAGTGTTTCATCTTGAAACATTAATGTTACACAGATATTGAATTATATGTGCAGAGTTAAAATGAACTGGATAGGCTGGTATCCCATTCCCTATAGTCAATATCATATAGATACCATTTTTCACTCAAAAGTATTTTTTTATAAAGATGTTGAGGTTTTTGAATAATTATACCTTCAAGAGAATACATACTTACATGCATGCATGATATATAAATGACCAGTTATTTTTAAAAAAGTCTGTAAACAAGAAAATTATTTGAAATGTACAACAGAAATTTCTTTTAAAAAATTCCTGAAAGTATTGAAACTTTAACAAGATAAATATTTCATTTTTGATAAAATTTTAAAAATAGAGGAGCTTTCATCTGAAAAATTTGATAACTAATGACCATATTTATTGGCATATAATTTGTACAATTTATAAGGTTATATGGCTCATGTAATATCAAAAGAATTCCTAATTTGTATGAAATTTGGGTTAAATAATTTTCTCCTAAAGGCATTATTCAAAAACCTTGTAAAATAATAATAAAGAAAAGACTTTTTTTATTTGAAAAAGTATTTTACTTTTCATTTACAAAATTTCACTTTTTGATATGAAAAAAAAAAACTTAATTTACAGAAATTTGTCTCATTAGTACAAATTTACATTTCATTGGTAAAAAATTTTTTTTTTTTTTTTTTTTTTTTGAGTGAAACCTGATATACATACATATGTTTGGTCTGTAAAATCGAGAAGCTTTTACATTGTCTGATAATGAAACTGATCAGTGACCTCTATAATTGTTTTCTTCCTCTTTGCTGTAATAATGGCCCCTTATCCATCCTTTCTTTAGATTTCTTTATACCTACTCAACTACCTTCTCTATGAAGGTGGATTTCTTAAGTTCAAAAACATCAATTATTTTACCTGCCTAAAATACCTTCATGTTTTGTATATAAAAACAAAATGTCATCTTATGTGACTACTTTTTACTCTTTCTACTGCTCTTATCGGTTATATCATTTTGAATATCATAGACACTTTCAATGTTCATGGAAATTGATAAGGGGCATGGGGAAGTAGGCCAAATGATTGTCAGTTGCTTTTGCTTGTCTAATTCCACATATAAGAGTTTATATGATATACTACTAGTGACATGATTTACAAGAATTTTACATCATTTTTTGTTTTGCCCACATATGAAAGTGTACCAATAAGTTCATAGACTAACATTTACTTATTAACAGAATTTTGATTTGAAATTTTCACTGTATAATAGTTTAATCAGTGTAATTATTATTCACCGCAGAATTAGGTTGAAAAATAAATGCATTTTTCATTAGGCTATGGACTTATTGACGCACCTATATAAAGTTTCAGTATTCTTATGTGACATGTCTCATCCTTCAAGTGAACCTCATGTATATATAGATATATCATGTAAAAGGACTTATGAATTTGATCAAATATGGATTAAAATAGAATGATATAATAAGGAACAAATAGGAAATGTTTAACATGTTTTGCTTTTATTTAAGCTTCAAAATTTTTTAGAAATTAATTATAGAAGAGAGTTCTGGTACTTTGGGTTCTGTTTGTTTTTCATTGGTCAGGTAAAAACACATCCAATTTATAAACACTTCCGATTTGTTCCTTATTCTATCTCTCTCTCTCTCTCTCTCTCTCTATATATATATATATATATATATATATATATATATATAAACAAATGAAAAACATTTCAATGAAAATAGATTTGATTATGCATTTTGCCATTCTAGATCCAAAAATGACAGGAAGAAATATGCTTAAACAATGAATCATGATACTTTTTCCCTAAGCTGGTGTTTCTCTTTTTGGATTCAATTAAAAAAAGTTGCCAAAACTATATTAAAAACTTTTGACATGAGCTATTCTTTATAAAGAAAAGATACAGAATAAATATTAATGGCTCTTTTAAAAAGTTACTCATTTTCTTCTTTAATCACAATAAACAGCAGCTTAGGAAAAAGTATTAGGATTCATTATTT